TGAAGGTGCTGTATTTGCATATTAATTATTTTAAGTGCCCACAAGGCCTTGCTGGCTTGCGAGGGTTGTCAGTACGGGTGCAATGAAGCGTCACAGCCATTCTTTGTGACCCAAGGAAGGTCTGCATCAGCTGCACTTGGGTTTAACTTTGCCGGGAGAATTAGGGACCAGACCACGGAAGTCTAGACAGAAGATATAAAACTCAAAGACTGTGTGACCGTGCAGAGGGGCGGTATTTGCAGGTGCGTTAAAAAAGAGATTTTAAAGGCAGATTTATAGCTTTCGATTTTTAAATCTTCCGTGGCCGCAATCATCATTTTGAGTAATATTTTGTCAATAATTATTTATTCTTACAAAATCCGTTAGATGCTCACAATAAAATTATACCGCTCTCTATGCGTTATAAAATATAAAAATGAAGACACCCGCGTGTTTTATAGCGGACATCTGCCAGGCGGACAAGGAAAATACGGCGCTTATGCCAGGACTGAGGAGCAGGGTGAATAAAACATGAAGATTTTCTGTGCTATAGGACACACCAGTGAAACTAGCGATTGGGTCTTACGCTGTGGAATTGTTCGCTGCAAAAGCATGTGTTTAACGGGAATCCATCCCAATACCTAGTATTGCGCTCTCTCTCCCCCTCGCTAGATTATTGCAAACGCTACTCACCTCTCCTGCGTGCTCTCCTTTGCATTGACGAGGCGGGTCTCTTACAATGCTCGGCAGTTCATTAATTCTTGTTTCTTTTTGTTACCACCTCCCACCCACCCCAACACACACACACGCACACACACACACATACACACTTGCAAACCGGATGATTATAATTCCAAGGAATCTTTAATTCAAAATTAAAGTATGGCATAAAATTGCTCTAAATATTCGGGGCGAGTTGCTGAGACTCGCAGCAAGTCCTCTACACCTTTACAAACTTATGCAAAACCAAGGGATAGAATAACTCATAAAGGTGGGTCCTTCGCACAATTCCCCAGCGTTCGACGATTCAATTCTCTTCGCAACCCAGGAAGTATTTCCATACTTCCCAGAGTTGTGGCTCCGGCCCTTGGAGGGAGCAGAAGTGATTTCAGTGCACCAAGTGTTTGAGCAAAGATGTTCTGGCGTTCGCTGTGTTACTCCTGCATGGAGTGTTTGTTGACTGCATCGAAATGTTAAAAGGTTTGGCATGAGATGCAGTAAAAGGCCGCGACACGTGTAACGGATATTACTTTGCCGCTTGTAAACAGTAATACCGCCTGTCATTTCGAGAGGCGAAAATGCAGGTTGCCATAGGAACAGCACGCCGGAGTTGTAGAAAGTTTGCAGTAACATTGGGAACGCTCAGACCAACACAAATAGCTGGAAACAAAACAAAAAAAAAGTTGAAAAGACGTGAAAGAATCGCCACGGTGTGAACTCAGGGCAATAGTCCGTCCGCACACATACCCACACCAGTGGCAAGAGACAGCGGTGAGTGACAAGATTTCGCAACCATTCGGTACTTTTACAGTTTACCGTAAGCTTAGGGGCTCTGCTGCCCACGCACACCACAGGAATTAGAAAGACAAACAACAATGTTTAACAGGATAAAGATCACCTTTTCTCGCATGTTGATCCGAATCATTGTCTCTGACGGTCTCGAGAAGCGGTTGGAGTCCCAAATCTATCAATTCAACCGAAAATTATATTTTACAATTTAAGTTCAAAACTGTGTTCTGTTTGATATCACTGGGGCTCGAACTGAGAATTAAATGGCCGGTTAATAACTGCGAGGCTGAACGGTGGCTTATCAATGTCAACTCACTGGTTTCTGAAGGAAATAGCAACAACCAATCTTAACCAAAGCAGAAATATGAAAATATTTTCGTTTTGGTCCTTTGTCGTGTCAGTAATTTTCTGCCCTTAGGCTGTGAATACGAGGCAGGGAGAATCTCTCTCAGCTTGTCTGGGACAAGCAATGCTCCGCTTCTTAATCAACTCTACTCCTGTGTTCAGAAAAAGCTTGTCACAAAGAAGCGTGAATCAAACTAAAAAGGCCGGACTTCGACGTGGAATTCTTTTGAGAGACAACATCCCAGCCTCTCTTAAAATTCATTCCAGAAATAACTCCTTCAACCCAATGTGCGCTTTTAAAAAAAAATGTTTGCGGGCTGTGCTTATTGAAACAAACAAAGAAATAATCGCACTCAGAGTTATCTCGTTTGCAGAGTCTATTTAAGATAACCAGGGATCACTTGATGCTGCAATTGTGTTAGTCCCATAGATTTTACCAGTTACTTGAACCTTGCTAACGCGGACAGATCACGCTGAAGACTCTGGGAGAAGTTAGATATGAAGGCCATCTACAGATCCTGATTCTGTCATTTATATTTCTAACCTGATGGATGCGAATAGGATTGAGTCGTCATCATGGGAAGGACTGAGAAAATTTGACATTGGTGTCAAACCTGCAAGGTGTCAAAAGAAGTGACCAGTAAACACGTAAACAGAACGCCAGGCAAATCGCAAACACCACGCAGCTTCAAGGCTGTGTCCCACCCATTGCAGCCAACACGCTAGCTGAGGAAGTTTCGTTCTATCTTTCAGATTCTGCCAATATATGTTCAGACAGTCCCCGAGCTGTTGTTGATGGTGATGACCAGCGGTCCTGTTCACCCAGCGGTCCATGTGTGGGAAAATGTTGAATTGAGTTCCTAAGTGGGGAGAGCGTCACAAGTAGAATCCCTACAGTGTGGAAACAGGCCATTCGGTTCACTGAGTCCACACTGACCCACCAAAGAGCACTCCACCCAGACCTACGCCGCTATCCTATCTCTGTAACCCTGCGTTTCCCATGGCTAACACACCTAGCCTGCACATCCCTGGCTACTATGGGTAATTTAGCATGGTCAGTTCACCTAACTTACACATCTTTGGACACAGGGAGAATGTGCAAATTCCACACAATCTAAGGTTAGAATCGAACCCGCCGGGCCCCTAGCTGCGGTGCGGCAGCAGTCCTAACCACTGAGCCACCAAGAACCAAGAAAAGGGGATGAGGACCAGGTGGAGAATAGCCCCTCACTCCCTGAAGAAGATTGTACAAAACGCACAGAGCTTAACGGTTATCAATTTCGTGTTACTTCACCCTAGAATGGAATGGAAGACAAATTAAATCTCCAAGACGAAGTAGGCTGGACTGAACTGAGTCCGAGAATGTCACGAATACACTCGAAAAAAAATGCACCCAGGTTTAATAAATTATCAAGCAAGGGGTGTTTTGAGTGTGATTGGCGGACGTGAGAACCTCACTAAATGGATTGATTCGATGCGGCCCTTTCTAACCTGAGATTGCAGCATTCATCTTGTTAAAAGCCGGATTGTCTTGTGTGTTTCAATGTATATGTGTGTGTATTTGTGTTTGTGTGTTTGATTGTGTGTTTAAATGTGTGTATTTGTGTTTGTGTGTTTGAGTGTGTAGGTGTTTGAGTGTGTGTATTTGTGTTTGTGTGTTTGAATGTGTGCATATTTGAGAGTGTGTATTTATGATTGTGTGTTTGAATTTGAGTGTGTTTGGCGGTACTTGAATGTGTGCTTATATTTGTGTTAGCGCGTGTATATGAGTTTGTGCATGTATTTGAGTGTGTGTTTGAGTGCATATGCATGTTTGAGTTTGTGTGTTTCAGTGTATGTGTGTTTGTATGTGTTTTTGTGTGTTTTGGAGTAAGTGCATTTTAGTGTGCGTGTTTGAATGTATGTAAGTGTTTGAATTTGTGTGAGTATGTGTGTTTGACTGTATGTGCGTGTTTGAGGATGTGGTTTGAGCGTTTGTGAGTTTTTGAGTTTGTTTCTGTGTTTGCGTGTGTGTTTGTGTGACTGTGTGTGTTTGAGCGTGTTTGTGTTTGTGTGTGTTTGAGTGTGTGCATGTTTAAATGTGTATTTGTGTGTGTTTGAATGTGTGTTTAAGTGTGTGTTTGAGTGCGTGCGTTGGGGAGGGTGGAGATAATAAATTCCTCTTTCCACCGTTGGTGCTAAACTGAGTGGATGAACTTCCCTCTCAACATTTGGTAAAACCTGACAGTGTTTCATGTCCCGGGCGAAAGTTGTCCCTGACACTGGCCGAAATGTGGGAAGTAGAGACGCTCCTCGCGGCTGGGATGTGAGTGTTTTCCGGAGAGGCTGCTTTCAGGAATGTTCTTCCCAGCTCCGATTTTGCTGGAGACAGTGAGCACACACCACCAGCCCCCCCCACCCCGCAACTCCCGCATCACCCCCCACCCCCATATTTTCACCTCCCCCAACCCTTAGGGCTCCTCCTACTCTCCCTCTCGGCCAATCAGGAATCCCTGCCACCTCCGCATTCGTAACAACTTTCCAGCCACTCTTATTCCCCCCAAAAAAACCGACCAGTCAAAAAAAAAAGTTGGGAAAATTTCGGTGAAGTTCCTGACTCGGCCAAACTCAGTCTCCATTTTCGGCGATCGGGTGTTTCAAATCCTGAATTGGCAACAAGTCTGTCTTTGGAAAGAGGGAGAAAAGAAACAGATTTGGAGCGGGTGAAGCGGTTACCTCTGTTTATTTTCTTTCTTGTCTTCTTACCCCCTCTCCCTTCCTCCCTCCCTCCCGTCCACCCATCCCGACCACCCAGTTGACCCCTCCACCGCCCCCCCACCTCCTCCAAGCTCCCCCTCCCCTCCTCCCCTCTCCCCCAGACTGTGTGGCATGCCTTTAGACATCATGCAAGCCAGCCCTCGCAGTCTGCCTGTCTCTCCCGCAGACAGTCTGGTCAGCAGCGAGGAGGAGGCGGACAGGCAGCAGAAGCGATACGACAGCAAGAGGAGGTACAGCAAGAAGAGCAGCGAGGACGGCAGCCCGAACCCCGGCAAGAGGAATAAAAAGTCGAGCCCGAGCTCGCAGTCTTACGAAGAACTGCAGAGCCAGAGGATCCTGGCGAACGTGAGGGAGCGCCAGAGAACGCAATCGCTCAACGAGGCGTTTTCCTCCCTGAGGAAAATCATCCCCACCCTCCCCTCGGATAAACTCAGCAAGATCCAGACCCTCAAACTGGCCGCCAGGTACATCGACTTCCTCTGTCAGGTCCTGCAGAGCGACGAGATGGACCAGAAAATGACGAGCTGCAGCTATGTGGCCCACGAGAGACTGAGCTACGCTTTCTCCGTGTGGAGAATGGAGGGAGCCTGGTCCATGTCCGCTACCCATTAGCGTCCAAAACGGTATGTGCTTCTTTCTGCAGCCTTGCCACCAGCTTACCGTGCGAAGCTGTCAAACTAGTGCTCTATGTGTGTGTGTGTGTGTGTGTGTGTATCTGTGTGTCTCTGTATCTGTGTCTCCATCTGCCTGTATCTGTGTCTGTATCTGTGTGTGTCTGTATCTGTGTGTGTCTGTACCTGTGCCTATTTGTATCTGTGTGTGTTTGTATCTGTGTGACTATATCTGCCTCCCTGTGTGTGTGTGTGTGTGTATGTGTTTTGTATCTGAGAGTGAGCGGGCTAAAAGTCTAATGGAACCCAGCTCTCTGCCTGTATGTGAAAGCGTCCTGGGTCTATATGGGGTGTCCCCATTCACAGAGCGAGTTTAATCCTCGCATTGACTCCACCAACATTTCCTGTTTTTTTCTGTCTTTAAACTTGGAACGTCGAACAGCTGCTCCGTTTTTGCAAAGTCCATCGCAAATGACACATTCAAATATTATTTCCGACTGCAGTGTCTGTCTTGGGCAGGAAGTAGGGATTACTTCTGTTCACAATGTTTATAAGGCTGAGGTTTAAAGATATATGAGCCCATTAAGACCGGGGCAAATGGCCTTTCACCGAGGGGACGTGGAAATTGTGTGAAGGTTAGAATGGAACACACGATCTGAGATTCGCTCTGATTTGGATAACAATCATGTAGCTCAGCGATGGGCTAAACCCAAACAATTTTGCAGCTATTTTCTGAATTAGGATATTTCTAATAATTAGATGGAGGAGAAGTGAAGGTGAAATAGAAGTAACGGGAGGGCAGCATTAGTTAACGGTTATGTTGCTTTTAGGTAGCAATGTAACAAATTATAAACTACTTTTATAAACAACTATTTTCAAAAACTTTTTTCTTTATGATTTAATTTTTACTTGAATATATATCCCAGATGAAATTGGAATGATATGACACTTCCATCATCCTGGCAATTGGAAGCAGCATGCTCCTGTCCGTCTGTTACTCTGTAAATCTACCTGTCGAGGGAGTTGAGTTAAAGCAGCCCGCTGGAGTGTCATGCTGTCATGCTCCCAGTGTCATTTCCCCCAGTCAGACCCCCTCACTCAGATTGCAGCGAGGTGCTGGCACATTGATGAGCCTCTTGTATTTTCTGCTTCACTTTGTTGAAGGGTGGGGATCAGTGGTTAAAGTCATATTTTCTCCTTCGTGTGTTGACAGGCGTTTAAGGTCGTTGGAGCCCTCGATGGGGCTGGAGTTCAGTGAGAATCCTTCCCTTCCCTTCCTACAGACGGCCCAGGAAGAAATCTCATCCACCTCTCAACCGATACTCCCTGTGAACTCTGAGAAAAGAGTCCTTCCAGACTGCACAGTGACTTGAAAGGTTTCGGCAACAAGAAGCAAGAAAGTGTTGCTTTTTCGGCACACAAAACAAAAATAAAACACAGACGTGAAACTTCGCCCGGCAGAGCGGGATGTGTGTGCGGTCAATCTCACTGTGAAGTGACAATGTCTGCATTCAGGACGGTCGCTCGGAATGGACGTATTGGGATCTTTCCACACATTTATGCTTTAGAATTTTAAAAATAGTCGTTTTCTGAGGTTAATCATCGCGACAAATTGGGCCCAGACAGATCGAGAAAAGCAAAAAAAAGAGAGAATAAAATATCGGCACTCTGGCCACTGCATGCTCGCCCTCAGTAACCCTGGAATAAGCAAAGCTTCACATTGTTAGCCTTTCTCTATCGCGTGTAAATCTTGCTAGTTTATTTATTAAAGTTTTGCCATCGAATGAGTGTGCGGGGTAATTATATGTTACTTCCTTTAAGAGTTCTGGCGATTCAGAACTGGTCCTATTTAATCCTCAGTGGGTGAGAGGGAGGTGGTGGTAAAATGGGGCTTGCATGATTTTCAAGAAAGGAAGTTATCCCTCGGTAAACGAATCATAGCAATTCAACCCGCCTCATATATATATAATATAATATATATTTTATATAACCGTTTCGTTTTCCTGATTAAATAGAAGATCATTCTGACACAAACAAACCTTCAAACTGGCAAAAGGAACATGATTCGAATTGATTCAGAGAGATCAGACACTGTGTATCTCTGGATTTCTTGTGTATTCACAGACCAGGGATCGTCAGATTTCCGTCATCTGCCTGTCCCTATATGTATGTTGAGGACCTGTGTAGCATCATTAGATAATCAACAAACCAACCCGGGCCCCTGGGGGAGGGGGAGGTGGTTGGTGGTGGTCAGTGCCGGTTAACGAGGAAAACAGAAAGCAGGCAACCATCTGGAGACTCTTCACCTTGTCCCGAAGTGTCAGTCTTCAGTGCCGAATGACCTCAATTAGCTGTCTGTATCTGGGACGTCGATGCGCCAAATAGCTCATCGTTTAGGAATTGGTGAAATAGTAATGCGATGGGAGAATACAGTTTGCTCAGGCTGATTTATTGTAACATTTAACAAAAAGGCTGGGAGCTCAGAACCGATTCCTATCCTGTAACACGAACTCAGTGTATCCAAATCTCAAGCACACAGAAAACCGTTTTATCTACATCTCTGATATGTGGCCGGCGAGGTTCTCGCTGCCATAAGATCGTCTACTTACTTTCTAAAGTCCGGATGTTTGAAACTGGGATGTGAACGCGCCTTGGAGTGGGGCTTGTGGAATTCTCTGTGCCGAGTGTTGAGAGCGAGAAAGAGAGAGAGAGAGTAGAAACTGTAAAGCCACACGTGTATACGCGATAGGGAACTTACATTATTGTAAACTTTTGTAATAAAATGTCATGATAACGAGACATACATCCGCAGTAAAACGAAAACGGCAATGTAGGCGCCTGGTGAAACAAAGCGGCCTTTAAGATCATTAGTGAATCCATTGCAGGCCTCTGGGCTGTAACAGATTGGCAGCCAAGTTACTACATTCGACAAAACACTGTGGATGTAGACAGGGGAGCTGGCCAAAGGTGAACTTTTAACATCTGTAAGAGTCGTCAATGGGTGTGCCGGGGGTTGAGATTTACTCCAGGTAGACCCAAATTAACCATTTAGTGACAACCCGAGTGACCATTGTTTCTGTGTGAGGGAATGAAAATAAAGCAGCCAAGTCGATTTGAAATACAGGCGGGGACTGATTCCGGATGTTTAAGAGTTCTGATCTCTCTGCACCTCCCCACACGCTGTTAAACCGATCAACACCGCCTTGACTGGGGAGCCTTTAAGCTTCTTCAGTTGCAATCCAATATCCCACATTTCATGTCGCTAGCGGACGGTCCCAGCGGCGATTAACTCCCCACCACAGCCCAGTCACTTTTGTAACAAGCCTTGTAACTGAATCCTGTTATTCTCTGCTTCCTGCTGTGCCCTGGTTTGCCAGCTAGTTACCTTTGCCTTCATTAGCACTCTGGGGAGGCGGCTGGTCATTATTACAGGACCTCTCTGGTTACAGGGTCTCACATGGGGAGTCTTCCCGACATTCTTTCAATCGTCTCCGTCACCTCCCACCCACCGTTTTATTACCTCATCCCAAAGCTTGACCCGCAGCCTGAATGCGAGCGGTATCGCCTAGCCCCTTTTTGCTGCTCTACCCGATAAAAATGCCACTATTATAAATGACCGCAGAATCCAATCAAAACCTCCTTGTTGCTATCAATAGCCCAAATCTCTTCCCCCACTGCCTGCAACCCTCCCGTTTCTTGACTGATGGGCAGAGGACCATCCTGGGGGTGGACGAAGGGAGGGGGGTGTCTCTGTGCATACGGTGCAATCATGGATGTCAAAATGGAAGCCTCAGGGTTTGACCAATCAAAGCGTGTGAAATGTAACGTGCCTTCCGCTTATCCGCTTCAGCTCCTGTTTTTTTTCTCTCTCTCTTACCAGACTCTTCGACAACCAGTCAGTTTGCTGAAGAGTTTCACTCTAGACCTGACCACCCCCCCAAACAAAAGGAAATCTGTGCATTTTGACAATTTGGACTCTCCCCTTGTCTCCCTTATGTGTGTAACGGAACATTTCCACTTGCAATGGAAATACCCTGATATGGCGTTGGGTTGGTTCTCATCGATTTCCAGTTTAATGCATGGCTGAGTTTAAACAGTAACGTTGTTTGCAGTATCGCCCAGGGGGTAAACATATGGCTTTGCTGTCACCCTCAGCCACAATAGCTTAATTTCCCATCCAAGGGTAAAGATACCTGTTCTTCCAGCTGGGCTAGCTAGGACTTCCTGAGCCAGGCAATACCTTCCACATGTATATAAATATTCCCCAGTCCTGTCCCTGATTGCAGAGGATAAAGTTCATTGTCTCCTGGCCCGTCCTGCGCTTAGTGCTCACCGAGTATCCGACTCAATGCCTTTGATCTGTCCCCTCACCTTCAAAAAGAGATCCTCTGAGATCCGGGGCACCCCAGATTCTGCCCTACAGTTTGAAAGACGACTCCCACCCCCCGCGGAAAGCTGCCGGAATGAAACAATTTCTCCGGGGTGATTTAACACCACTGTCAATTTCAGGTCAGTTACCTCAGTTTAAAATCCAGCCGTGACTTTGAATTAAGAAGCGGAATGGACATCAGATGGGTCTAAATAAATCACATGCTAAGAAAAGCTATGCTTCCAAATTATGAAGACTTAGATCAAACGGCGATTTTTTTCCAATTCTAGCTCAGGTTGCTCCAAGGTCCTTCCTATAACGGTGGAAAAAATAATGCTGCAATTTCTGACCTCCCCCCTCCCCCTGATCCCCATCACCATCGCTACCAGATGGGTGCTGGGGAGGTTTCTGCTCGGCTCTGAGCCACATACCCACCCATAGCTAGCCATTTATCTTCTTTCGCCACCAGGCTAGCTGTGGGGACAGGGGGCCCAAGGCCAAACGTCGCGTTTTAAATTCGAAGCTGCGAATGTGCATCGTCAGCTGGGAGGCAAATGGCTCTCTGGAAAATAACAAAGCAAAAACTGTCTGTAAAAATGTGAAGCTGAATAGAAGCACAAAGATCTGCTAACCAGACCTAAACAAATCCCAGATCCGAGCACTATTTTTTTATTCATCCAACCCTGATCCTTACAGTAAGGGGATCAAGTCCAAAGAAATGTCTGTCTAAGCTGAGGGAGCGGCTTCATTTAGTGTGAGAGAGGTTTGAACCCAGTGAGAATGGACTCGATCCCAGTGTTGTTAATGACACCCAGACATTATCAGTTTTTGTGTTTACAATAACCATCGCGCCGTCTGATAAAGAGTAGGCCCTCAGATAACTGTCAAATGAAACCTCCTGCAACTCCCCACCTCGAAGTACATAGTCCTGCCGAGGGGTCTGCTCCCATTGTAGTTACTCGCTAGATCACGAATGACAGATCTCAGTGACTACTCCGCCGACGCAACCAAATAGTCGGCCAATTGAACAATTTGGCACTGTACTCATATCATCACCTTCAGTTTCACTCTCACCAAAACTATGCTCAATGTCGGAATAAATATACTGGAAAAATACTCAATGGGCATTAACGGGGACTGAATCTTCCTGAAGGCAGTTGTAATAGAGTTATCTCTGTTCCACATTGTAATCTGGCACCGTCATGTTACCCTCCGCCCCCCGCCCCAGCCCCTGATTTTCACAATTATCTAAGATGAGAACGTCATTTGAGATGACGGTCCACCGACAGAGAGCGAGAAACGCTGGGCCAGTGCTGCAAACACAACGAAACGACAGCGGCCCAGTTTGCAAAACCTGACAGCTAGTGAAAATGATGTTTTAAACATCATTTCGGTTCCTCATGTGTCGAGATCGCGGAGACTGTATCCATTCGTTGCTGCTTTGATCCCAAACTCGAACACGCGAGACCTCAGAATTAACTAATGCAGCCTTTTCATTGTAACTCCGAAATTCCATACTGAAACCCTGGGCCATGCTGTCTGCTCTCAGTCTGAAACCAAGGTGATCGCACGGCTCTAGATCTATCTGGTCAGGGATTCAGTGCGAAAGCGGGGGAGGGTTTTTTTTTGTCTGAATAATGGTGCAGCTTTCTTTGACAATTTAATGACCCGGAATGCTTTTAAATCGCCCCTTTTTTTTCTGACAGTTAAACAATAGCTTCGAGTTAGTGAAGCGCAGTGTTAACATTTAGATGCGAGGCTGCGTACAATGTTGCCGTGTACAGGTATATGCGCTGTTACGTCGCGGATCCACGTTCCAAGATTCATTTTGTCCCAGCAGCAACTCTCTCAGTTCGAGTTAGCACCGACTGATAATTCATGTGACAGCATCAGACGGTTTGATTAACCTGTTTTCAATAGCTGAAGGCAACGCTCGAAGTTCAATCAGTTGCGTCTTAATGAAGCGTGATAGACCACGGGCATTAGCTGTTTCCATTCTTAACACGGGAGCGGCGTTTATTCCAAATGTGGTCGTTCCCACCGATAGTCACACGTTAGAACGGAGGGATCCTAAACCGAGTTCCCTTCAAACGTGTAGAAACGCGGAGTGACTGACTTCAGGTCGACACGCCGCCCCTGCAGCTCAAGAAGCTAATGACCTCGCGGTCACCAGCCTAGCGGCAGGATAATGTATATGTAGAGTGCACAGAGACGGTACAGCAGGGTGAGCTGGGTGTAATACGCTGCGCCGGGACCCCGTATTCCTGCACCGAAAACCGAAAAGGGCAAAATGCAGCCGGTTTAAAAAAAAGGCACATAGAACATCGCACAGCACAGGCCCTTCGGCCCACGATGTTGTGCCGAACTTTTACCCTAAACCTAAGGTCTATCTAACCTCCACCGCTACCTTATACT